TTTCACATTTTATGGTTCTCACTGAAAGTTCTCTTGATATCCAATTTGGTCAATTCTGCCCCAGCTCTTATGTGGCTCGGAGAAAAAAGTAAATTGTTTCTCTAGGGCATGTTTATGTCTCCAGATGTCTATTAGATCCAGACTCTCTTCCAATTTATTAAATGATTTTGGTAATTCCCTTGGTTTTTTTTTCTTCCTTTCTGATTGTCTGTCTAGTTCTGGTTCCTTACTCCGTTAAAGTCTCCTAGCAATATCGTCTTATTGCATGTCTAACTCTAATAATATTTGTTCTAATTTTTTTAAAAAATCCAATTTATTTGAGTTCGGAGCATACACATTTATCACATTAAATTTTTCTCCCTGAAAATTAATTTGTACTCCCAGGATCCTTCCTTCCTCGTCTTTACAAATCAATTTGGGTTCCCACTTTTCTTTCACATACGTCACTACCCCCTTTTTCTTTTCATTAATACAATTCGTGAATTCGACCCCCCAACTTGTTTTGTGTTAGAATATGTTTATATTTTTTGGTTACATGTGTCTCCTGTAAACAGATTAAATCTATATCTTTTCTCTTCAACACATTTATTATTTTATTTCTTTTGGTTTTTTCGTTCAGACCATTCACATTCCACGATAAAACTTTTAAGTTCATTATGTCAGTTTAACAACAGTTATTAGTTTAAATTTAGTTGGTTTTGTTTTCTTCGTGTCCTTCCCCTTCTTCTTCCTCCTCTTCCTCTACTATCTCCTCCTCTTCTTCTTCCTCTACCTCTCCTTCTCTAGCCTTATCCTCTTGCTTTTTCCTTAAATCATTTTTCTTTCTGGACTCATCCACGCCTTCATATCTCTCTCCTGTTTTTCCTAGCTCCCTTTCATATCTACGCAAGAATTTCTTCATTTCCTGAATCTCAGCGATTCTAAATCTTTTATCCTTATAATAGAAGGAGATCCCTTCTGGGAACTCCCATCTATATTGTATATTATTCTTTTTTAGAACACTTGCCAGCCTGTCTGTAGATTTCCCTTTTGCGAAGGAAGTCTAGTTGGAATTTCTTTAAAGATAATAATTGGTTTTTCATCAATCATTAATCTTTTCCGATAACTTGTTTTTAGTATCAAATTTTTCATTTCTATCGAGTTGAAAATGACTAAACAATCCCCTGGTAGCTTTTTTTATTTTCAAATGTTTAGTCTTAATTTTTATTCTAAAGACATTTTCAACCGAGTATGCTATTCTCTTCCTCTTTCAAATCCAGCCATTTCGCAAATTCCCATTATCATTTTCTCCTTAATGTTTTCATTTATTTCTTCCCCTACTCCCCTAAACTTCAAATTTAACTGTTTTGTTTTATTTCAATCATTGCTAAATTGTCCAAGACTTGGTCTTGCCTTTTTATTCAGATCCCCTATGTCATCTTTTATCCTTTCTGTCTCTTTTCTATATTCCTTCATTTCTTTCTGCATTCTCTTATTTGTTTCTTCCAGGGTTTTGACCTTGCTGAGAGATCTTTAATTTTGTTTGACAATTCTCCTACCACTCCTTCTATTTTTTTGTCTATTAATTCATTTATCTCCTCTAGCTTTTTTCCATGTGCATCTCCCTTTGGATTGAACTCTTCTTTTATTTTTAGCCATAAGATATCTAGATCTTTAATTTCCTTCTTGCCGTGATGTTTTCCTTTCTGACGTGTTCCTCCTATCTTTTTCCCGTTTTTTGACATTTTATCTTTTTATACCAATTCAGTTAGGACTGTGATTATATTTTCCTCTCCCCTAGGGGGCGCACACATCTAGGCTTTATTCTGTCTGATTTTCAGTGTAATTAGGGTTTTAGCCTATCTTGCAGATCAACCAATACTATGAGGAGACAAAAAACTTATAACATATAACCCTAACTAATAGCAAAACCAGTAAACAGCAGAATAGTTAAATTTGTTTGTTTTTAGTCCAATTTAGAAGTGCTTTCCCAGAGAGTAGGTCAAAGTTTAAACGTTGATAGTCATGGTAAATTTTCATTGAGCTTCAGGTGTGTTGTAATTATTCAGGTTATATTGTGTGGGAGGGGCAAAGAGTAGTCTCCCTCACTAATATGTGGATCTATTATAGTCTATTATGGCTTGCCAGTAGGGCAAACAAAGAACCCCACCCCAGTATACTTTTTAATAAGTCCCGCTATGTCCACACCTTTTGCTTCGACAGATGCGATGTTTGCAGTTCTTCCTGTACAATTTGCTTTCCCAAATCTTGTTCTCAGCCACTTGCTGGCCCAATCCAATCCAGTAATAGAGTTAGGTCTTATAATAGGGGAGGGGAGGTGATCCCAGAACTCCAACCTCCTCCAACCATTCAGTTCCGATCATCTAAATTTAGCTTTTAATGTCGTGGTATGTTCCAGTTTTCAACCAAAAAGCCAGAGAGTAAAGCAGCTGGTTAAATCCACAAACTCAATCTCCCATTATCCTCTAAATTTTAAACCGTGTCACTGTTTCTCCATCTTCTCAATTCAGAGAGGAAGAAGAGGGAGTGGTTAAAGCTCGCTTCCACTGGTATGAAGGTGTGTTTTAGTTCTATTTTAGTAATTATTCAAACCGTTCTTTAAAACACCCCACACCTGCATTCCTCACTATACCATCATAGAGAGAGTAAAGCCAAAAAGCTATTATCCTTGTAGGTTTCTCTTCTCCCTCTGTATTCCACTGTTGTTGCTTTCAATTTCTAAGCTGTTACTTTCTTGCTTCCTCTCTGTCCCGTTTTACCTTTCTCAAGCTTCTCAGTCTTTTCCTCCAAAAAAAAAAAAAATACAAAGCATACAACAGTCTGAATATTATCTTCTATTTTGTATCTTCTTTGCCTCGCCTAAAACCTTGCGAGGGCTTTCACTTTTCTCCTCTCTACAGCAAGTAAGTATTCAGTTCCTCTCCTTGCTCTCATGACTGGCTGTTCTGCGCCCATTTTGCACTGAAAGGCATATCGGGTTCCTTATTTAATTTCTGTTAATTCCCGAAGCCCCATTAACGATGTTTAAAATAGATTTTTTGCATGCTTACATTTCTTCATACGTTGGGGTTTCGTCCTAAAGTCTTGGAGATTTGTCGCTTCTGTCGGCAGGAGCTAGAGGCATCGCTGCGCGGGGTCTGCAGAGCTTCCCATTCGCGTCTCTCAGTCCCGTCGTCTTCAGGTCTCTTGAAAAAAAAACCCGAAAAAACTTCGGAACTCCGCCTACGCCGCTTGGTAGCTTGTCCCCCAAGGCCGCCCGCCTTGGGTTTTTGGGGGTCGCTGTGCCTTTGCGTTGCCCCCAAGCCCCCGCGAAGCTCGGAATAAGCTTGAGCAGCCTTTCCCGCGCTCCTTACCGCTCGCGATCCCAAACCGGAAGTCTCACTACACACTGTCTTAACGTAAGATCTTGTTCAGCAGCCAGATTCTACAGGAAAGAGAATTTCTCCAGTGTATGCAGACAGACAGGGGAGCTATCTATTCCCACTTCTTGGATGTTTCCTGGGCTCCACTAGTTGGCCCTAGGGGTGCACCCACTAGTGCCTTTGGGAACAGAAATAAGTCACTGTCCTTTAAACTGATTTCAGAGAGCTGGAGGATAGAAAGAAGATCCAGCATCTTTTGGCTTTACTGGGAACAGACAGTGGCGAAGTTACCTATTTCTGCAAAGAACCACCTCACAAGGTAAGAGCACCTCTGTTAACCTACAAGACATTTTTATTTCAGGTTCTTTCTAAACTGTTCTATGTTGCCTCTGTGAGATATAAATTCTAAAATCTGTAACTGTGGAATAGCCTTCACAAAGTAACCCATTGAGCAAAGCCTAATAAATATATTGTGATACTGTAAAAGTTTCCATTGGTCAGAACCCACTTTGTCAGATATCTAGCTCAACAGATCTGCGGGTCTTTCCTTTTTTTGAAATTGCTTATATGCTGTTATTCATTTCTTAATCTTCTGCTTTGTGAAAACTTAAGAGATGAAAAGACAGCACAATGGGTTGTAGCTCCACCTGTCTTCCAAAAGCAGGAAATGCACACAACATTATAGGAAGTAGGTGTGGCTTAGGCCTCCTCAACCCTAGTCAATGTTCTGTGTTTGTCTGAGCAACACCCCCCACCCAACCAAAAAACCCTTCTCCTTTCTGTCCCCCAACACTCCAGAGCACATCTGTGGAGCAGAAGGAGAGAAAGGGAAAACTTCCGTTCTGTAAGCAGAAGTCTGTTCTGTGGCCAGATGGATATCACCCCCCTCTACCTAATTCTCTGCCTCTCTGAATTCTGTACATCTGAATGCATTCAGGAAGCTCTGACAGTGTTCACTTCAAAGTTGGCAAGCCCAAGACAAGATTGCAATTGTTTCAGCTGCCGTTCTGTGCTTCGCTTCTGACTTCATGGAGCACTACAGATGGGTGCATACAGACCCAGTCCTCTCCATTGCAGGGCTAAGGGAGCAACTCTTAGGACCCAGAACACAATCCTGGTAATCGGGGGCAAGCTGACTCCTAATTCTGAAGCCCAACTCCAGCAGTGACACACCACCCATTTGGTGCTGTTGGGTGGCAGAACTAGATGAGACCTGTACATACAACATGGGTAGAAGTGCCCTTCTAGGAACTGGGCTGCTAGAGTAACAAAGCTGCAGGGAGAACCAAGCCACAAGTTCATGTTGCATTCTGGGATTCAGTCATGTGCCTATTTTACTTTAGAATTCCTTTCCCTCTAAGGCTTTTTTGCATCGTATTGCTACTGAAGCCTATCTCAAAAGCAGAGCAGAAAATAAACTCTCTCTGTCCTTGCAGGCCACTATACCGCAAAAGCTAATCAAGGGCAGGGATTCACATGATCGAAGTGGCAAGCATACTTCAAAAGCAGGTAACTGAGAAGCTAAAAATTATTTCATCAAATAAGACATCTGGAGAGAGAGGCTATTGTGGGCGTGGGGGGGGGACATCTAAATAAAGGAGTGACATAGCTTTTCTTTACCAACTCAACTTTTATTTCTGCTCTAGGTATAAAACACTGTGCCACAAACCAGCAGAAAAGGGAGAAAAACCAGAAAATGAGGATAGATACAATAAAGATGAGCAAACACTCTTATTACAGGTAAGTGGCTTTGTGCAGCCCGGGTGGACTTCTGTTACTTTTAGATCTCTAAAACCAAATAGTTCTTTCTCCATGAAAAGTCAGCTTTGCCAGTGATGGCATGATTTTATGCACGTTGCCATCCATTGAAATCAGGGGAGCAAGTATTTAGGTCAGTGATAATCCCCTGTACCAGGGGTCAGCAACCTTTTTCAGCCGTGGGCTGGTCCACCATCCCTCAGACCATGTGGTGGGCTGGACTATATTTGGGAAAAAAATATGAGCAAATTCCTATGCCCCACAAATAACCCAGAGATGCATTTTAAATAAAATGACACATTCTACTCATGTAAAAACACCAGGCAGGTCCCACAAATAACCCAGAGATGCATTTTAAATAAAAGGATACATTCTACTCATGTAAAAAACACGCTGATTCCCGGACCGTCCGTGAGCCGGATTGAGAAGGCAGTTGGGCCGGATCCGGCCCCCGGGCCTTAGGTTGCCTACCCCTGCCCTGTACGATGGGCCATCCTCAGGGAGACAGAGACGCCTTTGGGAGGTGAGTGGAAGAACAGCTCTGAACATTTTCTTTGACCCTGTGACCCTCCCCCAACTCTAGTGGACCCCTGACCATTAGGTCCAGCCATGACCGACTCTGGGGTTGCGGCGCTCATCTCGCTTTATTGGCCGAGGGAGCTGGCGTACAGCTTCCAGGTCATGTGGCCAGCATGACTGAGCCGCTTCTGGCGAACCAGAGCAGCTCAAGGAGACGCCGTTTACCTTCCCACCAGAGCGGTACCTATTTATCTACTTGCACTTTGACGTGCTTTCGAACTGCTAGGTTGGCAGCAGCAGGGACTGAGCAATGGGAGCTCACCCCATCACAGGGATTCGAACCGCCAACCTTCTGATCAGCAAGTCCTAGGCTCTGTGGTTTAACCCACAGCGCCACCCACGTCCCTTCAACTCTAGTGTACTTACTGCAAAAAAAAAGTGGTAAGCCAACTCAGGTGGGCTTGAAGCTCTTCCTGTTCCTTTTGCGAAGTGGTCCTCCCAGAGCTTTGCTCCAAGGTCCTGTCCCAACAGCACCACCGGGAAGAGAGGAGAGGAAACATTCCTTCCATTAACTTTCTTCCATTAACTTATCTTAAACGCTAGCCAACAAGAAGTATATCATTGCTTAATTTTATTCCTTAAATTTGTATCCCAACCTTCCTCCCGTAGGAGCCTAGGGCAGCAAACATCAGACTGTTAAAACAGCACAATTTAAAGCAAATTATTAAAACATACTTAAAGCCATTCTAGAACATTAACCCCATCACCTTCCAGTGAGTTAAAGCAAAAGTACATTCATGTTCGTGTTTTTGTTCCTGTTGTCAGTCAGTAAGGCATTCCTGTGGTGTTTGTTTTCAGGTATGTACTCTCAGGCATCTTAAACAATGCTGTAAATTTATTTGAGACCCTGTTCTTTCTCTTTGCTTATGATTTCATCACACTCAATTAAACTTTGATCTTTGCTTTAAATGCTCAGAGCCAACAGTAAAAAGAGAGAGGCCAGAATATTCAGAGAAGAGTTGTCTGTTTTGCATTGGACTTCAAAAAATTTAAATCTTTACTTAGGGTGGCTGATTGTGACAACACCCCCCACCCCCACACTTGTAAACCAGTGTAGCTGATCTATTAGCAACTCATTCATATGGTGATGAATCAAGTGCATTTGAGGAAAAGGGAGGGAAATTGGGTAAATGGTTCCAGATCACTGGTTTGTCATATGACAATTGCAGTAATCATGGTCAGTGAATAGCATGATCATTGAATTAGTAAAGGAACTTAAAAACAGAGTTCATTGATTTGGGTACTTAGCTGCCTTATTTCTCTTTCATTGTAGTGCTTGACTGCCCCAATCTATCTTACAATCTCTTAGCTTTCCAATTGGTTTCAGTATTGCTTTTATATTCCAAGATTGACAGTTTAGGTATGAAGGTATGAAGCTTTTTATTGTGCAAAACCTAGAGATTCAGAGTTATTTTTATAGCTGAATAAGGCTGCTTAAAGTTGCCTGTTAAAAAGCAAGAACAAAAACCAAATCCAACATCAAATGCTACTCTTTTTTTCCTTTTTTGGTCTTTTAAAAATGCAATTGCAAGAACCTGACCCGGATTACTTTGCAAATGCATTTTTTTTACCAAATGACTTCCATAATGGTCTCACAACAGGAACAAAAAAATAATATCCATGCTAGCTCTTTCTAAGGTCCATCTAGTTCAGCATCAAGTCTTCCATTGTGACAAAGAAAGAAATGACGAGAAAGTTCATAAGGAGGGTATGAAGCCATTTTTCTGCTATTCTCCAGCATCTAACTGCTCTGGACAGGTTTCTAAGAAGCTGGAAATCGCACTTCTGAACATTACGGCTCCCAGTTATTCTTTGTGTATAGAACAATGTTAGCTGTTCTGCCAGAGGAAAACATAACAGAAAATTCTACCCGCTTTTCTGTACTTGTTTAGGTTGAAGCTCTTCAAGCTCAGCTGGAGGAACAGGCCAAGCTGTCCAAGGAACAGACTGAAGCATTGCTGGAGGACAGACGGATCCGAATAGAAGAGTCTCTGGTCCAGCATCAGAGGGACCAGGAGAAGATCAAAGAGCTTACTCAGAAGTAAGTGCAAGAAGAATGTGTCTTTGCTTTCAGTCTGAATACAAATCATTTTATTCATGGTATTTTACTTACATTTCTATCCCACCTTTTTTCATCGTGGAACCAATGGTGATGTACGTGTGGTTCTTAGGCAGTCGCCCACCTAGGTACTGACCAGACCCAGACCTACTTAGCTTCAGCAAGGTGGTCACTTCTTGTGCCTTCATAGCATATTGTGGGACCAATAAAAACAAACCTTACTGTGATGGGCAGAAGTGCTGGTCAACTGTATTAAGACAGTGCATGGACCTCCTATTGGCGTTGATTTGATACTGTGTGAAGTCACAGGGTACTTTGTGTCTCTCGTAGCAGGTATAAAGTGGCAAACATAACATGCGGTAGAAACCAGTCATACATTTGCACTGTCCTACTCCTTAGATATGAACTTGAACTCATTATATGCATGCATACAGATAGCTCTTGTCAGTAGAGCATCATATTTTTAATATGGTCCAGGGTTTGGGTCGCCACTCAGGTATGGAAGAGAAGCATGACTCTGGGTGCTGGCTTTAATTTGAGGGAGGGTTCACAGCTCAGTTGTAAGGCACATCCTTTGCATACAAAAAAGGTCCCAAGTTAGATAACCGGATCTCCAACTAAAGGAATTTGTGTATGGTAAGTCTGATGAGCTGCTGACAGTCAGAATAGACAGTATTGAACTAGATGAACAAATGCCTCCAATATAAGGCATGAATCAAATATTCTAATATAAGACAGCCTCATTATGTTGAGGTCCCTCACAGTGGTTTCATGTGGGTCCAAAGCCAGGGACAGCTGCCCGTTGACAAAGTGAATTGCACTGTCAAGCCATTGATCCCCACCCCGATTTGTAACTGGGATAATGGAAGAGCTGGGGAAGAAACTGGTGACCGGTTCATTGCCATTCCTCTCTCCAGTTACCACAAAGTTCAGAACCTGCTGCACGAGAGCACCAGAGATTTTCTCCAGATGAAGTTTGACGCACGGGCAAATGAGAAATCCTGGATGGCAGAGAAGGACATGCTGCTGAGGAAGCTGGACAAAAGAAAAGGAGCACCCAAGTGGAGCAGGATCCGGCGGGACAGCGGCCGAGGTCGGGAGGACATCAAGAGAAGGCAGGACGGCGGCCGAGTGTCGGAGGACATCAATAGAAGCCAAGACAGCGGCCGGCGAGACAGTGGCCAAGGTTCAGGAGACATCAGGAGAAGGCAGGACAGTGGCCAGCAAGGCATCAGCCCTGGGCGGTGGGACAGCAGCCCGGAGCAGTGGGACAGCAGCCCCGAACAGTGGGAAAGCAGCCCAGAGCGGTGGGACAGCAGCCCGTACCGGTATTCTATTGGCAGAGTTTCTCCTGGCAGGAGGAAAATGCAAGACAGAGGTGCCAAGCACGTTTCACGAGCAGAGCATGAATGCCGTAAACGGTACTGTGCAGAGATTAAGGTAACAGGGACTGCTATAAACTAACTGTGCTTTCTGAAGGTTCAAACATATATTACCATGAAATGTCAACATCCCCTGGTGCCGTGGCACATTGAGATGTAGCCTATTATTATTTAATTTATAATTATTATGTTTTATTTATACCACACCCTCCCCAGCCAAGACCGGGCTCAGGGCAGCTAACACCAGGTATAAAAACAATTGATTAAAATACAACTTAAAAACAAGATTAAAATACAGCATTAAAATGCAGCCTCATTTCAGTAGAAACTCAAATCAAAAACTTTTTGGGGATGAAAACGTCAAATCTTCACCAAGGCCAGCTATCCAGACTGGTCCTGCGTGGGCCAGAAAAAAGCCAGTCCTGCCCTGCCAGTCATGTCTTCTTTTTTAATTCCCCAGTATCAAGAGTAGCTTTTTCCTCACCACAGGAAGATATTGTGCTCAAGGCCTGATTGTGAACTTCCCAGAGGCATCTGGTTGGCCACTAAGAGAACAGAAAGGTGGATTAGATTAGCCTTTGTTCTGATCTAGTGGGGCTGTTCACTTGGTGATGTAAAAGTTTGTATAAGATCTGCATCCAGGTTGTTGATTGGGGCCGGTTATAGGGGACATGCGTCTCCCTTGTTACAGCAGTTCCACTGGTGACTGGGTCTGTTTCCAGGCACAGTTCAAAGTGCTGGTTATGACCTGTAAAGCTCTGCCTAACTTAGGTCCAGGCTGTCTGAAACAACGTATTTCCTCATACAAACTTGCCCAGGTTTTGAGATCTTCAGGGGAGGCCCTTCTCTTGATCATGCCACCCCCACAGATATGCTTGGTAAGGATGCAGGAAAGGGCCTTCTTGGTGGCTGCTCCCATATTTTGGAACTCCCTCCCTAAAGAAGCTAGACTGGCTCTCTCCTTGCTGTCTTTCCACCAGCAGGTGAAGACTTTCTTGTTCCAAATGGCTTTAGGGAACTGATTGCTTTTAATGAAAGGGCTGGTCCTCTGTTGTTTTCATTGTAATTATTGGTATGTTTTTATATTTTTTATATATGTATCTAGTTTTAATTCTATCAATTTTTAAAAAATATTATGTTGTTAGCGGTTCTTATTTTTATCTGTAAGCTGCCTTCCCATCAGGGAAAAAGGCAGAGTATAAATAAATACTGTATTTTTTGCACCATAACACTCACTTTTTTCCTCCTAGAAAGTAAGGGGAAATGTCTGTGCATGTTATGGAGGGAATGCCTACGGGTGGTGGTGGGGATCTGCTGCAGTTGTGAGCAGAGGATCCATGGTTCCCCTTCCTTCCCTCCTCCGTGGCTCGCTTTGAAACAGCAAAGCGGGAGAAGAGCCGCTGAGTGGGGAGGAGAGAGGGACAGAGAGCCTGCTTGCTTTAAAGGAGCAAAGCGGGAGAGGAGAGGAGCCGCTCACACGAGTGTAAGTGGTTCCTGTCTGGTTGGCTCCTTTAAAGCAAGCAGGATCTCTGTCCCTCTCTCCTCCCCACTCAGCTCGCTAAATAGCAGCAAAGTTTTTCAGCTCGCTAAGCCGGGGATGAGCGGGGAGGAGGGAGAAAAGCAGAGCCTGCTTGCTTTAAAGGAGCAAAGTGGGAGAGGAGAGGAGCCTTCTCCCCTTAAACCCCTCTTCTGCATTATTAGCAGCATCCTTCTCCACCCACCCCACACGTGCTTCTTCTCCCCTTAAACCCCTCTCCTGCATTATTAGCAGCATCCTTCTCCACACACCCCATGCGTGCTCCTTGTCCCTTGAGTGCTTTTTCTTCCCTCCCCACTTAAAACGTGGTTACAAAGCACCGATCCACATGGATCCTCAGGATTTTTGCACTGGGTCACCCCAAATTCACCATTAGATCACATAGCATGTCCATGGCTACATCTTGCACCAAAAAAATCACGCACCCACTGTTGCCTGGGGCCGTAGTGGTGCAAAAACGTGGTTACAAAGCATGGATCCACATGGATCCTCAGGATTTTTGCATTGGGCTACTCCAAACTCACTGTCAGATCACATGTCTGTGGCCACAGCATGAACCACAAAAATCATACATCCACTGTTTCGTTTAGAATATTTTTTTCCTTGTTTTCCTCTAAAAACTACGTGCGTGTTACGGTCTGGTGCGTGTTATAGAGCGAAAAATACGGTATGCAATAATAATAATAATAATTCCTGACAGGTTGAGAGTGCCTCTTTCCTTTATTATCATTAGTAGTTCTGTAATTCATTCATTCCTTTATAGCATATCACTTGTCGCTGTTGTTGAAAGACTGAAAAAAATGGGTCTGTTTTAGTGTGCAGTGGAGGGGGAAAGGGGGTTAAGAATAGTCCTCAGACACACAAATAGTTATCTGTGTTCATTGTCCAGGCAACATACACACAACTCCGAACATAGTTCAGTTTGGTGCCCATTGTTCATTTGCTGCCCGTGCAAAGTTGACTTGTTGAATTCTAAAGTGTTGCAACTAGAGCATGTGAGCTAAAGTACTATTAGTGTCTCAAACCAGCTTAGCTTTAAATCAAGCACAGGGTGGTCCTGCTAATGCCCTTCTTTGTCACAATAGAAGCCACTAATTATTCAGGGTGATCTAGTTGCCTTCATAGTGCTGTTTAGGAAGGAAGCACTTCTGCATAAGGTCTCTCTCTGCTTTATAGCATTTTATAAGCCAAGGTGTATATATATATATATGTGTGTGTGTGTCTCAATCACAGAGGCTACAGGAGCGATTAACACAGGAACAGCGGCTATCAAACATGTTCCGAGAGCAGTGCGTTTCCCTGGAAGAGCAGCTGGCTAAGATTCGAGAGGAAGGAGATGTAGGACGAGAGATCTTCAAGGTAATGCCTTGCCCTGCTGCTGTCAAGCTTAGCAAGCACTTTGGCATGCTGTGATAGTCTCCTCCATCCTCTTTATTGCAAGAGTTATTCACGGGATCTGTAATCTTCTGTTTGCTTTCAAAAGGAACGCTCAGAAAAGATGGGGAAGCGCCTGCAGCTGATGACCCAGCGCTATGAGGCCTTGGAGAAGCGGCGTTGCATGGAGGTGGAAGGCTTTAAGACAGACATCAAACAACTTCGGCAAAGTCTGAAGGAGGTAGAGCGACTGCTTTTCAAGGTAAGTGTTGTTATGACCAGGAGAAGGACAGGAGTGAGATCCACTAGGGTGGATCCTAGACACGTATAATAAACACTGTGAAAATCCTTTTTTAAAAAAACGTTTTGAAAAATATATTGAATTTGCCATAGCTCGCTATCGCCATCTAGAGTCACATTTGTATAATGCACTTTACAACACTCTTAAAACGTTTTGTTTGCAGTTGTGTTGTTGAGTCCTAGGTAGAATTAATTTTGAATGTTCAGACAGATAATTCCTCTGGTGCAATATTCAGTTCTGTTACAAGGAAGAAAAATAAACAAACACTGGCCTACAACTAGAAATGCAGCTAGCTGTGAATGGAGATGTTCAAAATTGATCTGGTATCCCTTTCGCTATAGTTTTGACTGGCCTTTTAATGAGTTTGTGGGACAGGGATTATTGGTTTGCTTTTGTTCTATTATGCATTTTGTGTTCTCATTTTTTATTTTTATGTTGTGTACCATCCAGTTTTTAAAAACAGATAGAAAAATGGGGTGAGGGGAAGGCTTGGATGGCCACAAACCTTTTGGCAACCCAACAGGGAGACCCACAAAAGCAGTCAAGAAAGCATTTTTTTAACCCTATAAGTTTTTTGAAAATGACGAATTGCAGGAAGGGACAGCAGTAGCCAACAGACCCCAGGATAGCCAAACCACAGTCTAGAGCAGGCTTCCTCAAACTCAGCCCTACAGCTCCCATGAGCCCTAGCTAGCTGGACCAGTGGTCCGGGATGATGGGAATTGTGGTCTCAAAACTGGAGTTTGAGGAAGCCTGATCTAGAGGATACCAGGTTGACTTAACCCTGCAATAGTCTAACCTGGAGATAACAAGAACAGAAATTACCACGGTGAGATCCAGCTTTTTTCGGGAAGCGTTGTAGTTGCCATACTAGCTGAAGCTGGAAAAATGGTTCTCCAACTCAGTGTTGCTACTATTTTTTAAAGGACTCTTCTTCCTTTGAGGACACAAAGAGTGCTAGACTAAGGTGGAAGATGCTTGTGTGGGACTATACAGGCATTTGATCCTGTCCATTATCTTCTTCATTTAGGGTGCCAATGCACCTTTTGTAAAATAATGGTCAAGTTGACGGAACCTTTATATATCCATCTGTTTTTTTTTCCCTCTCTAGGTGACGGCAACTGCGGGGCCAGAGCAAGACCTTGCAATTCTGCAGGAAGTTCGCCAGGGGAATAGGAGAACTAAAAAAATTCAAGGGGAATTGAAAAATTTAAAGTCAAAGATCTATGGGCTAGAAAATGAGCTCAGAGCCTGCTAATAAGAGACACGCCGGCCAACACCAGTGGCATATAGATAAAGGCCATTGTTGCAACAGCTTTCTCGTATCTTTATTTTGTGACACCACGTGGAGCTTACTGTGGCTCTAGGATGTAACTTTATACTCCAGGACTTAAGGAACCCATTAAACCTAATGTGAGGTTTGGAAGGAAACTCTCTTACTTTATTTTTATTTTTATTTTTTTACATGGGTTTAGAATTGGCTTCCTGCTTTTCTCAATGTCAGTTTATGCACAGATTGAGCTGGAGTCATTGGCTAACTTTTACGTTGCTCTTGCAGCTTGCAGGAATGTTTTTATCTGTTCTAAGAATGATGCAATATTCAGGCATCTCCAGAAACCAGCTCAAGTAGATCTCATACTATGTGTGTCAGTGGTTATTAAAAAGAGGGAAGTGACTTCCCTATGTCCCTCAGAAATTACTCTGTAATGGGTGGGTGACAGTTTGTATGAAGAGAAGCCCTTGGTTACATCCACACTTGTGGGCAGTATTCAGCTAAATAGTTGCGCAAGCAGAACACCTTTTACTCACACAGCGGAACTCCACACACTTCCCGCGTATGTGCGTGCCCTACACAATCTCCAGATCTGCTCTGTTGTGTTGCAGGGCAGGAAGAAAATTAAGAACCCCAAAGAATTTGCTTCCAAAGAAATGCGACTCGAATCGGGTTGTACAAGTGCTGCTTCAGTTGTGGGTCTCGCTTAGTATTTTCTTACAGAATATCTTCTGCTGCAAGATACACACTTGAAGTGTTGTGAGGCAGCATCATTTGTCCCCTGCTATAGCATTAAACTTGACATTAATTTAACATTTCTCTTGGTATTTGTCACCAAGGCTTCCATTTCCTACGACCTCTGCACGCCGAAATGCAAGTCTTAATGCAAGCAATTGCTTGCCTTTGACCAATATCTCACACTTGGTTTCCATACTTTTTCCTAGAGGGAAGTGCTTTCCATGCAGGAAATATATAACCTTCCAAGTGATCCTATCTGAAGTCTTATCCCTTTTGAGGTTTCTGGTCTCCATTCTCTTGTGGCTTTGTGTGGGTGCTCAAAACAGCCATATCACAGTGCTGCTAATGTGTAAACGCTAACATGCACCTCCAGACAGAATTCACAACAAAAATCACTGCAGCTGGAAAGTCTGTTTGCGCCTCGTTGCTTTCTTTAAAGAAAGCCAGCAGTTATAGTAAGCAAGTAGCTGAGAATGCAAAACAGCAGGCAGGCAGATGGATTTTGGTTTTTTTCCCCTTAGAAATCTGACACGGTGAGCAAGAGTAATGTAGATGAGACTGTTTGCACTGCAAATATTAAATGTGATGTGTTAGGTGCTCTTTGCCTGCACCGGTAACATAATAACATCAAAACTATATTCTCGTCTGGCTTGAACTGGATTGTAATGATTTGGACATGCTTACACACAACACCTTGAGGATCTCTGAAGAGCAACATGCTGTACAGTAACTGAACATGCCTTAGCCGTGTCTCTTTGTATTTTGTACCTTCTGTGCTATACCTGTCGATTTCTTCAAATTTTATAATAAAATTAGAGTTGAAACAGTTCTAATTAGATTAATTAAAAACACAGTTGTGTTATTCCTACAGGAATATTGGGGGGCAATCCAGCCAAATGGGTGGGGTAGAGAACCTGTGGCCCTCCAGATGTTGGACTCCAGGTCCTATCGGTCTCGGCCAGCATGGCCAATGGTAAGAGATTATGGAAGTTGCAGTCCAGCAACATCTGGAGGGCTACAGGTTCTCATGTCTAAATTAAGTTCTGTGATCCTTCGCAAGTGCCTGGCCATCAAACCTGTAGGTTGCATGGCAAAGTCAATAAAAGATTGCACTAGCCAGTGTTGCCCAATTTCCTCCAAAAGGTAGCTTTCCTTTCCCCCTGATTGCGGATCTTCCAAATCCGCTTGCTTGAAAGATGATAGCAAGAATGCTTGTATATGATGAGATGAAGTCCTGAAATGCATTTGTACTTATGGTGGAAATGAAGATGAGGAAACGGGGGGAACAGGGCAGCTACCATGAAAAGAAAAGGCTAAGACTTCAAACATAAATTGGCTCACGCTCTGAACATATGTTGAGCCATTAGCGCAAGTGGATGTCCGTAGACAGCTGCCCCAAGGTGATTGGGATATGGGCATGTGCATCTAACTCTTAGCCATAAAGACATGTGTGGAGAACTGAAGGCCAAAGATATTAATTTCTATAATGCTGGAATATGGTAATATGTGAGTTTGACACTGGAGCTTCACCATATGCATGGGAAGATCACCATATCAGATCATGCTGGCATAGCATTACACAGCTTTTACATCTTCAGTTGTTTCCTTCCCACTTTCCAACATACATTTTAAAGATGCAAGTAGGGAAAAGTAATATAACTAGCGCCACAGGAAACTGCCTTATACAGAGCCAGACTTTCCATTCAGCGCAGCATTGGCTGCTCTGCCTGGGAGCAGAAGCTCCAGTGTCTCAGGGCTTGTTCACTGGAGATGCCAAGACTAAACCTGGAGCTTCTACAAGCTATGAACCCTTGCCTAAAGTTAATCTTATGAATCTTATGAACCCTTGCCTAAAGTTAATCTGAACATAATTCCACACACACACCCTGTTACACATCTGCCCAGAGTGGCTGGGGAAACCTGGGCAGATGGGTGGGGTATTGTTATTGTTTTTATTAATATTCAGGCCACTCTTCTGAGTCTTTTATGATATTCTGCTTCAGGGTTAAAAAATAAGGCAGCCCCAGAGCAAGGGGCAAAGTTTTTGAGTATGTATCACCATTCTCACTAGATCACTTCTGAAGTTTATATATTCACACACACACACATAATGTTTAGTATTACTATATTTCTGTGTTTTTTAGTTGTGCTAATGTGTATTTTCATGAATGTTATTGATATAAAATGTTATAATGGTCTGTTGACTGCAAATAAGGATTCGTGTTTTGTTGTAACATAAAAAAGCACTAGGGGGCGCAGTCTCTCTGTTGTATTAAGAGGAGCAAAGGAACTGCTCTTTTTCTGTTTATTTATCCTATTATCGAACATAACATGTGTATGCACAGTGTGATTTCATTTGTAACTATTTTTAAACGTGTGTGTCTCTAGGTTCCTTGCAAGGCTTTCTCTAAGTTTTCCTGGAGCTTTTGAGAAACAGATTTAATTCCTTTTGCCTTCCTACTCCAGCAGAACGCGGGTTGGGGAGGAAGTCGTGCTGCGCTTCCTGGTCTGGGAAGACTGTTCATCTTGACAGCATCTCTTGTTGCTCGCTATCTGCGAGAGAGAGTGCTGGCCAATGTCCCATTTGTTTAAACTGCTGGATGGTTTTCTTATTGGGCCACAATGAAAGGAACTTCCTATCAGCCCCCAAATCAGCACAACATTCGCCACTTTAGAAAACCCAGATGCATCTCCAGATGTTGCAAGAGCACACTTGGATACACAAACCAATCCCACTGCCTGTTTTAACACATCAAAGCTTCTGCTAGCTAGGATAGTAGGTAGGGAAGAATTGCAATGCATTCTCTATTACTTTATGCCAGGAAGAAGGTACAAAACCACTGCTGCAGTAACTTCTCTACATCCACATTCAGCTTCTGGAGTTATCTTCATGCTATGAAGTTGGAGTATCTTCAAATAGTACTTTTCCCTACTCTGTGCTCTATGGGGAAAGGTGTGAGTGAACTTCTTCCGGAAGGAGCCCAGTACAACAACTTTTTTTTAAAAAAAATTATTTATTTATTTATTTAACTTTTTATTTTTTTAATAAATTTTTATTCAATACAAGTTAAAATACATACATAATCACAACAGAAGAAAATACAAAAGAGAAAAACAAATACATCTATCCAAGGAAAAGGAATTAGAGAATATTTTGTCTTTTCATATTTACAGTTATTTATACCTCTATAAAATGCTATTCATGATAACACAGTGAAATGAAATGTAAGATATCAGAATAAAGAAAAAGGGAACAAAAAGAGAATAAAAAAGTAAAAAAAAGGTCATATATGAATTTTTTTTAAATTAGATAAGTACTCACAATACATAGCCATTATTATTATTTATAATTATTATTAATAATAATATTTTTATTAAGAAAATTAAACAGCTTCCATAAGGTTAAAGGACCCCTGAACGATTAAGTCCAGTCAAAGGTGACTATGGGGTGCAGCACTCATTTCGCTTTCAGGCCAAGGGAGCTGGCGTTTGTCCACAGACAGCTTTCCGGCTCATGTGGCCAGCATGACTAAACCGCTTTTGGCACGATGGAACACCGTGATGGAAGCCAGAGCACACGGAAACACCGTTTACCTTCCTGCCGCAGGATTACCTATTTATCTACTTGCACTAGTGTGCTTTCGAACTGCTAGGTTGACAGGAGCTGGGGACAGAGCAATGGGAGCTCACCCCGTCATGCGGATTCGAACTGCCGACCTTCTGATCGGCATGCCCAGGAGGCTCAGTGGTTTAGACCACAACGCCACCCGCATCCTGCTACAACTTCCATAAAGCTGAGGCTGAAGGGGTTGTGCAGTACGTTAAAAAAGCCCTGCTGGATCAGACCAAAGTTCCATCTATTCCAATATCCTTTTCTTACTGTGGGCAACCAGATGACTATGAGAAGCCTTCAACCAGGACCCGAGTGCAAGAGCAATTTCCCCCACTTGCAGTTCCCAGCGACTGGTATTCAGAGGCAATTTGCCTCTGATGCCATCCATAGATGTTTTGACACAGAAGAAGGGGAAACAATGGGCAAGGAAGTTTATCCCTCTGGAGAAGGAGCAACGTGGGACTAGAGGACCTTCCTCCAATGGCTGCACTGAGACCGCATCACTCACGGCAGGCTGCCCTCTAGTTTCCTCACTAGCACAGCCACAACAGAGAGCCAGTATGGAGTAGTGGTTAGAACGTCAGACTAAGACCTGGGAGACCAGGGTTCAAATCCCCACTTGGCCATAAAGCTTACTGGGTGATAATGGGCCAGTCACCGTCTCTCAGCCTAAGCAACCTCAGACAGTTTTTTTGAGGCCGTGTATACCATCTTGAGCAACTTGGAATAATAAATAAACCTGAAACAGATGTAAAGTGGGATAATTAGCCATTCAAGGAATAAAGCAGAATATATATCTCAATAAAATAAATAATATAAATATAGCGCCACGCTATTCACTTCCTTAGGTGTGGGCACCACTTTGCTCCTGTGAGTTTAGCATCTCAGTTCAAAACACAACCTGCTTTTAGAATACTTGAAGCACATGGCAAATGCAGCGCCTCATTTTTGATAGCTGCCACTCCCCTGTTCTTTGAGACCAGCTTTTATTAATGTTTCACTATGCCTGTTCCTAAAGCAGGGCTTTGCAGCTTTTGGTTTTCTGTCCCACAATCACGTTTTAGTTCATGATACTCACAAAGCCAGGGAAGAAGCGCTGGGAACAAGAGTGAGAGCACCTCCTGTTCACCAAGAGGCTGTTGTAGAGGGCAATGCCATTCCATCTGCTGCCCCTGTGGATCCTACCACCCAAGGCAATTGCCTCACCCCTGCCTGAGTACAAAGTCCCTACATTCAAAGTCACCACATAAGGAGCTCAGAGACAGTGTGCCATGTCTTGGGAGGGAAGAAGAGAGCCTGAGACTGGCCCATCCTCAGTTTATATCCTGCTACTGCTGTGTGATCTGTGACGTCAGATCGCTAGTGGTTTTTTTCAGAGCTGTGTGGACAAGGCTTAACTTACAGCTTGTTGCCAAGTAACTTGTCCAGGATGAATGGATTTAGGAGCCAGCATGTCCCCTCCTGCCCGTTCCAACACCACCACTCCCCTAGAATGCCCACTTGGGGAAACTTACACTGGCATAAGATCTGCCAGTCCCAATGAGCAAGCTGAGCCAGCTGGGATGGGATAGTTACACTGATATATCCCAGCTAAGCCAGGATTTCGCCACCTGAGCCAAAGTTCCACCACAGCCTAAGTCTTTCAGCCTAATGGTTCTGAGCTCAAGATTTCAGCCATAATCTCTGATCTTAGAAATACTTCACCAATACGCTGCAGCATTTGTTTTAATTTGCCCCAATTTGTTTGCCTTGCTAATTTATACATTTGGGGGGGGCTATATAAACAATTAAGTATATAACTGGGCTAATTACTACTACACTGTGGATGTGCCCATTGTTGGTGCATTTTCAAACATGCAACTCTGTGTCTGCTGTAATGAGAACAGCCAAACCTTTATTCCCGCAAACAGACTTGTGTGCTTTAAAGCTTGGGAGAGCAAGTGCCTTGAAACCATACAGGTGGGCAGCATCCATGTCAACAAGACAAGCTTATTTAATACAATCAAATGATTGCATTTTAGTGTATTTATTAGAGTTTGGGGATATGAGGTTGACCTGCCTGCATCCTTTTCACCTCACTGACAGAACCCACATGATTTACACAGGAGACGTCACCAAATCCACCACCAAATCACATTGAATCCATGGACTGAGCCATGAACATCATGAAGCCAGGGCCACCAGGAGCAGGTCTGTGGACCTGAGGTACGGCTCC